TCAGATATGGAGACATTCAAAGCGGACACCCCCCCCTTCTGATGGATGAGGGATTTTTTTCTCTCCCGTGCGTCAATCACAAGGGAAACGAAGCCCTCGGCCTCCCCCTCCCGCCCGCCCAAGACTGAGCGGTGCCCTCCTCCATCTGTTTTGGAGCCAGCCGCACAAACAAAAAAACGGGAGACAATTGCAGGAAACACTTGAGCAGTTCAGAATTCTTTCACAGGTTTCGGTCTCGCAAGGCAACGCAGGACAATGAGATTCGGAAAAATAACATCGAATGAGAATAACAGGCTGGCAAGGGCCTAGAGCAGCCAAGGAAAAAAGAAGTTTTTAAAGAGAAAAACCACACAGTGCTGATGCTTGGGAGTTTGGTGGAAGGCCAACCGTCCAGGGCTGGAGGGGCCCAGGAGCCTCCTTGGTAGCCAAGCAGGGGAGCACCCCCGTCCCTTCTTTCGATGCCCCGTGGCATCTTCTCTCTCTCCTCAGCTCAGCCTGCCTTGCAATCCAAAATGCCCGGAGCCGCTGGGGAAAGAAACTCTCAACCCAGCTGGCAGGGTTTCCCACACCACAAAGCAACCTGCCCAGGTGCCAGCCGTGGGAAAGGGGCTCAAGGTTGCTGTACCGAGGGCGAGTGCCATCCCCCCCCCCAGGCTGCCCTGCCCTGCTCTAGGGTAGCCCAGGCCCTCGGAGGATCGGCTAATGCTGTACAGGCTAAACCTGGAGGACTTAAGGGGCTGTGCTGCTTCAGAGACCAGAGGAAGGACCCTTCCCCATTTCTGCCTGGTTCTGGTGTGGGATTAAGAGGAGGCAGGCATCCCATCCCCATCTCCAGCCCTGCCAGGAGCCAGAGTGGTGCCGAGGGGCATCCGTTGCCTAGCAGGCCAAGGCAAGGGGCCCAATCGGACCTCCACGGTACACAGTGGCTGTGCTCCATCTCCCCCCCCACAAGGGCAGGGCATCTTGAAAGCCCCCGTGGGGGGGGGGAGAAACCTCTGCCTTCTAGGAAACTACCACTTGCTTAGCGAGGGGCCTCATTGCCAGATGGCACAACTGCCTGGGGGTCAACCTTTGGCAACAGGCTGAGGCAGCCCACCCCATTCGCTGCCCTGGTTCAGTGAAGGCCAGCTTCCTGCCACCACTTCAGGGCAGAAATGCCACCCTGTATAAGGATACCAGCCTCAAGAGCCCTGCACAACCAGGTGCCCGCCCGTAGTTGCTGGGTGGGGACCCAGTGGCCCTCCAGATATTGTCGGAATCTCCTCCGGGGCCTTTGTGCCCACTTAACACTCAGCAAGGGAGAGAAACCAAGTGGGGGGGGGATTTCTTCTGTCAAAAGAGGTGAGGAGCTACAGCCCAAAACCATCCGGTTGCTGTCCTTTTTATCCTACTCTGAACTGCTCCTGGCAATGGAGGCTCTCCTTCAGAGCTCCCTTCCGTCAGTCCCAGGCCTGCTAAATTCGCTGCAGTTTGATCTCGTTCCCTGGCAGCCTTCCAGGCCGTCCCAACTCTCCCTCTTGGCAAGGAATGATGGGAGTTGTAGTCCAAGACAAGGGCACCACTCTCTCTCTCTCTCACGCACACACACCCCCGCCCCCTTGTCCGTGAGCCTTGCCCGCTTCTCGCTCCCTGCCCCTCCGCAGCTTCCTTGAAATCGCAGCCTGTGGTTGGAAAAGAAAAACAAGGCACACACGAACATAGGAACATGTTTTTATATAAAAAGATCAGTGGAAAAATTATTTATAATTTTCTCACCCTGGGACTACACAATGCTATGATATACTCAGAAACACACACACACACCCACACACCCAACCCCGTACAGCCTTGCAAGCCCTTTCATCCAGTTAAAAAGTGATCATACAGTGAGCCACATAAAAGCTTCAACATAAGCCTAAAATTCTCCACAAATTAATTAACATAATTAAAGAAAGGTATTTGCCACCTAGGAAAAAAAAGGGGGGGTAGAAACAAGACCACGGTGTAGCAAAAGGCTGCTCACTTAAGTAATCTGCGGGTCAACTTCTTCCAATGTCTGGTTTTTTTCCCCACAAAGGTGAATGTGTTTTCCCAAGAAAAATATTTAATAGACCTGAAGATGATTCAGCGCAAAACTGGTGCATCTCAAAACACCCCCTCTTCCTCTTTAAAGAAAGGCAAGAGACATTTCCCATTTTGGCACAAAGGATCCAGCAGCACAAAATAGCCAAATAACACCTTCCCTTTTATGTCTCAGTTGGGGGGGGGGGACACATAACACCTGGCTACATTCAATACCTTTACAGCAAGAGTGTGCAGCCTTGGGAACTTTTAAGACTTGTGGCCTTCAACTCCCAGAATTCCTCATCCAGCCAGTCTTAAAGTTCCCAAGTTTGCACACCCCTGCTTTACAGGGTTGCATAGAAAATATCACATTTACTCCCTCCTGCTGTGTCAGAAGAGCACAAGTCCCACTGAGCTGGGCAGCTCTTGGTTTAAGAGCAAGGATGCTTAGCAGATCCCTGTGGGAAGGAACCTCATTGGCCAGCTCAGAGAAAGGACCTCAAAGGCAGATCTTCCCAACTCAGTTCCCATAGCAGGGGGGGAGGGGAACCACCTCTTGGGGGGGAGGGGATTTTCCCACTAGTTCTAGGCAAGAGTGGGGGATGGTAGAAACCAGGCAACAGAACAAGCCTCATGGATATTTTATTTCACACCGCACACCCCCTGGGGGGGGAAAGGGTTTCACAGTCTCCAAAGGTATACTTTTCATATATAAAAATATAAATATGTGTTAACATCTTTACATGAGTCTTCTTTAGAAAAACGGGCTTTCGACCAAGATCTTTTCCTAAAACTGAAATCTGATCTTGGATTTCTGAATACAACCTACTTTTATTTTCTCATTTAATAACTATGCCATAAATGTTATGACATTTTATTGTGGCAAATCTTGTTTTAAGACAAAAAAGAAATCATGTGCAACTCTAAAACACCCCCCTCAAAGTTGGAAAAAAAAAAAGGAACTGGTTCTCCCCGCCAAGCACAGACTAAAAACGCCATAGTCAGGAGGGGCCCCGCAACCACCCCCCCAGCAGTTCCCACCAGGGCTGGTGAAGCCCCAGCCCCATTCCTTGCAAATCAACCAGTCAGAGTAAGCGAGGAGGAGGAGGGGGCTGCAGAAAACAGGCTCCCTTTTGGGGAAGGGCATGGAGGAACGGGAGACAGCAAAATAACTCAGTGCAATGGGGGGGGGGAGAATTATTGCAGGAATTAGGGAAGAAATATACCGAATAGCAACTGCTCCAAAAAAACTGCATTTTCTGAACTACCAAAATAAACATCCCTTCAAACATAAACGCTCGTCACTAATTATTCATGTTCACACACATCCTTGCACACGTACAAGATAAATACTTAAAGCGCAGCCCAAACACAGTGAAAAACTATATTTTAAAAGGTTTAATGGCTATTTGATGGGGGGGGGAGAAGAGGCGCGGGTGATATGGCGGTGAAAGGGATATTTCTCTCTCTCTCTCTCTCTCTAGTGCACACGAAAAGGGGGGCAGAAGAGGCGGGTGGCTTCCTCGACATTCATGGGGGGCTGCCTGGGCGCACCACACCAGGCAGAGACTCAAGAGCAGCATCGAAGGCACACGGGGCAGTCAGTTTCGGGGCACGGCGGGGCCTGCTCCGTTCCGAAGCGACCCCCGCGTGGAAATCGCCTCCTTCGAAAGGTTCGGGTTTCAGTAGTTTTGCTTTCCCTCCATCAGCAGCAGGGGGCGCCCTCGATCTTTCGGAGAAGCTTCCTAAGCGCCCCCTTTCTCCGCGGAAGAGCCGGGCGAAATTCACCCGTTTTAAAGGGGGGGGGAGCTGGCCCGCCCGCCCTCCGGCAGAGCGGATCCAAAGGCGGCCAGGAGGGCGAGAGCGAGCGGGGAGGCCGAGAGGGCTGCGCCGGGGAGGGGCGAGTTCGGTCTGGACACCAGACAAATGCGACGAGCGTCTTGCTCCGGAGCAAGAGCCGGAGATCGGGGAAAGCGCCCCGCGGCTGGGCTGGGAGGGGAGCGGCCGTGGCAGCTGCTGGCGGCGGAGAACCAGGTCCGGGGCGCGGTAGGCAGCAGATGGTCGGCCCCAAGGAAGGAAGGAGCGAGCGGGGGAGCCAACACTGGAAGAACCGAGGTAGATGAGAGGCAGAGCCGTGGCGGGTCGGAGCGCGGCGGCTCCCGAAGGGCGGGGAGGTCCGGGCCGGCGCCCGCGTCTCCTCGGCCCGAGTGGCGGCGCCGGCCGGCCAACAGCGCGCATCTCTCCCGGGCTCCGTCCTCCAGGCGGGCTCGGTTGACGGAGGCGCCGCCGCGCTCGCCCGCGGGCCGGAGGGCTTTCGGGGCGCCACCGCCGCCATGGAGCTGCCGGAGCGCGCTCAGCCGCGGCCGCCTCCCCCCGCGCTGCCTCCCCCGCCGGCGGCCGAGTACTTGGCCTTGGTGATCAGGTAGAG